CATCCAAATCAGTCTAAGAACTTATAATCTTAAATCTGCAGAATATTTCTTAACAGTGCGTATTCGATACCCTACAAAGTGAAATAATAGTTTGACTCTACCGGTTTGGTTCAATGGTATAGGATATTTAAGACTTCTCGTAAAAGTATTGTGTAAGTTTACCGTTTAATTTTTACAGTCTTAAAAATAACAATATTTAAATTTTCTACTATTTATGTTGAGTATCTTAAAACTAGCAAACCTTAAGTTAGTCATTGAAAAGTGTGTTGTGTTGACCGATATGTTATTGAAAGTTTTATTACTCATCGTTGTAAGCACAAAAAGTTTATAAGTGCAACAAAGTTTATATGTTAAAACTTACGTCTATGCTATTTTATAATTATGTAACAGCAAAATAAAATTAACTTTAATTAAGTTACAAATCAAAAATATTTGTAAAGAACACAGTCTAAGGTCAGATTGAATCGTATCTTATATATCTTACATTCTAACTGAACATTGAACAAGCTTTGTGAAAGCTCTTTAGATTTATAAGGAACAATAAAACACAGAAATACATACATAAACCAACTTAAAATTTTGGCAGGAAGAGACCGAAAAATGTGTAACAAGACTTTTTTCCGACACTTCTTGCTATAGTACGTTTAGATCTTTCAAACTAAGCAACGGCTTTTATGTGATTTTAACCAATAGAGAGAGTGATTCAAGAGTAAGATTAATATGTATAATACATAATATAATAGTCGAACTCGTGCGCCGAGGGTTCCGTACCTACCCAGATTTCACGTAGATTTTCGCGAAAATTTGTAATTACCAAAATATATCTTAATTTTTAACTTTTTTTTATTTTTTGGAATTAGTCCTTTATTTGTGCTGTAAGAAGTTTCTTTTTACCAAATTCTAGGTCAACGGGAACTACCATAGGTTTTCGACCCAAAACCTATAGAGTACTTCCGGTTGAGCTAGAATTGTCAATTTTGGTTAAAACCAAGGTCCTATAGCACAAGTAAAGAGAAAATTGAAATTTGCCCATATCTTTTTATCGTGTTGACTCAGGACTTTGATTTTTATACACCTAATACAGACCATAGAGCTCAGTATCTGGTAAAAAAATTCTAGTTGCTAGGTCTACCCATTCCTGAGAAAATCGGTGGTGACACACAGTGACAGACGGACAAGAAAGTGATCTTATAAGGGTTCCTTTTTTACCTTTTGAAGTACGAAACCCTAAAAACATGTTTTTGTGCGCTTACATTGCAGACGCTGGATAAACCTTACGAGATAGACCAAATAAAGTACTACAGGACTGTATATCTTCTCTATTTACATTAATTTACATTACATTTAATTATAATGAATATTTTAGAAGTTACTACGGTAGGAACGCAGAGTAACTATTTAATAATTATATATATATATTATGTAACTGAAATAAAATTTTATATTAAGGCTTCATAAATATAGTTTCAGAAAAACAAATATAAATCTATATGTATAAATGAGCTTTAGCCGAGGGCTACGCTCGCGTAAATGTCAAGTATGTCAATAAATTTGGACGGGATAAAGTGTAGCCCTTGTGCTATTCTAAATTATATTCTATGTGCCAAATCTCGTCCAGATCCAGAAAGCCGTTTTGTGGTGATTGAGTAACAAGCATACCTACGTTTTGAAAAATAAAAACATACCGGCTGAGCACTATAGAGGATGGAGGGAAAAAGGGCCCCGTCTATCCGCGGCCACATTCAGGGCAACATGAGGCGGTGGTAAGCGCGCCTCCATTGCCGGGTTCGCCGGTGACGAATTGGACCTGTCCGCCGCCTCCTTCTGCGAGATGACGTCTTCGCAGGAGGATGCGACCGCGGTGAAACATCTTTCACTACCGGCCATGGAGCGTATGATGGCTGGCAACGATAGATAAGCTCCGATGACTGCAGTGAGGACTCGGCTCAACACACTCTGGTAATCTGCCCGGCTTGGGAGTCGTAGCGACAGGCGGGTCACCTGGTGGTAAGCAACTACCGCCGCCCATGGACACCTGCAACTCAAAAGTTACAAGTGCTTTGCCACCCTTGGAGTCCCTCTTGCTCGAGTAACGAGGAGGGGGGATTTGGGCTCCGGTAACCTCACTCACTCAGTGAAAGGCAACGTAAGAATTACTTAACACCAGTTTTCTGTGAAGCGTGGTATCACTCCAGTCGAGCCGGCCAATTCGCCCTAGCGACCGAGTGCAGGTATTTTCCGAAGCAACCGTGCCTGGCCAGGACCTGCGACAGTCGGAAGGAAAGGGTCCACCTCTAGCCTGGACGACAAACGAGCCATAGTAGCTCGGCGTGCGACCTCACGCCACTCGCGTACCTCTTCGGGCGGGGACCGATTGCCATTACCCGCTCGGAACTCTGCCGTCTGCTGATGTACTTCGGCGAGCACTTCCGCCTTCAAATCCCATGGGGAAGTTCTGGCACCGTATAGTGCCATTGACCGGACAACACCCGTTTACAGCAACTTGGCGCGACGGGTTCTGGTTGAGTCTTTTCAAATGGGGTATAAGTCGCCCAAGGGCAGACGCAGCACCGACCAGCTTTGGAGGAAACTGTCGGAAGTGCTCGTCGTAGAGCCACCTTCCGTCGAGGATCAGGCCCAAATATTTCATCTGGGCCTGAACTGGTACGAGGATCGAGTTGACCACAATTGAGGCGCCGGGGAGCGGACCACGATGGGCCTTGGAATAGGAGGGCCTCCGTCTTAACCAGGGCCGTTGATACAAACCCAATACTAACCCATCGTTCCAGCGTGGTATAGTAGGCCAAAACTTCATTTCTAAGGAGAGGCCTATGTCCAGCAGTGGACTATTAAACGCTTTTGATGTGACCCGATACTTTATGATCATAGTAAGCTGAAGCTGAGACAATCGTACTAAGATAATGTTAGGGCCCCAATGAAATACTACTGGTGATGTGCAGGATCTAAATGTATATCTACTAATAAGAATTTTTAATATCAGATAAGCAAATAAGGTCTTAGGGTCTAAGATTTTTTCTTAGTTAATGACAATGTGCGTGATCTGCAAACATTAGCTGGCGTTCAGAGCTTAACAGCGAAACATATTCTGACTTGCCCGGTGCGTGATTTTTTAAACATTTTTTTAAATATATTTAGCATAAAGATTTAAAGTTAACCTTGTTATGAAGACAGTTAAATACTATAGTACCTTATAACTGTTAATATTATTTGAATGTTAATTTATTGTAAACAATTTAACAACAAAATGTATATTGGAATTTCAAGTTTCTTAAGAATTTATATACAGATTAGAAATTACAGATACTTTAATTTTGTTCCTTGAGAGATGTTTCTGGACCATGTTTATAGAAAAAGAATCAATTTGAAATGTCATGTAGAAATGAAAAGGTCGTAGGTGCAGCTAGGGTAGCAACTTCTGCTTACGTTTTATAGATCAGGTACATTACGGTTGTTCTTTAATGCACTTTTTAATGCATCTTAGTTAAAAGGCAGAAACAAACACCTGATATTTGACATTGTTTGTCTAAATATTGTCATCACTTGAGATTTCTTTACTTCACTTTTGTTTTAATGTCTGCCTCTGTCTCTTAACATTTCAATAATATTTTTTTATACAAGATCAGGGTTATTTCAATAATACATAATTTACTTTATTAGAAACTGGAATTTAATATACGCGGAGGCATATCCGTAAACATGTTTTATAATTAATAGTTCAACTAATACTCGTAGTGTTAACAAAACATGTGCTTTAGTTAAAGAGATTTAAAGGGTAGCCTGGGTAGATTTACTGGATAGAAGATCAGAATTAAAAGGTATTTGATTGTATTGCCTTTCAGCTCAAAGAAGATGCTTTGGGGTGATAATTTAAGATAAAAGATTATAACTTACTTGTATCTAAGTAGTATAATATGTTTTGTTTTTACATGAAAAATACATAGAAGATCCTTGTTGTTGACACTCACTACCTATTATACACCTATTATAAATAAAGCTCACGATGGATATTAAGTGCACACCTATAAATTCTCTGAGGTTTCAATCAGGTTGTACTGGACGTGCTCACGTGAATCTCGTCTGGTCACGACTTAGGTCAGCCTAAACATAATCAAATATTTACCGGTGTTAAGATCTACTATGTATTTTTCGAATTAAAACAAATACATACTTAAATAATTATGAATACGATTAATAAAATGCACATATTGAAACATTAAAAAATAAGTATTCATAACAAATTCTCTATAACAAAGGCTACTGTTTTGTTTATCGCTTAATAGGACTGGAATTAATGGTTCTTAACATAATAGAAACTGCAAATGCCACTGATTTCATAACCTCCCAAGGGATCTATCGCCTTTTCGCCCCAAAAAATTCCAACCCTCGATGGTATTGTAAAATGAACCCTACTCTTCTATTATAGGGGCGGAAATAAATACAATATCATGCCTTGTTTGCGACGTTGTTTTACTAGACTTAGATGAGGTGTATACATAGATTTCAATTTTCTGGGCGTGGCGAATCAAGTGCCGTGACACAATGTATTCAAAACGCCAATATTCGGTTGGCAAAACTGCAGTATAAATAGGAGACCTTTCTTTCGCAACTTCATTTTTAGTCGTACAAGGGTAGCGATCACCACTGATCACGTATCAAAAATCCAGCCGGAATAGGTACATATCGATTAGTTGTAACGAGTGCTAGTGGTGGAGGAAGAGCCAAAGTATGTTCGCCGAGGGTAAATATAAATGATGCATGGCTCGAATAGCGTGATAGTTCAAAGGACGGTGCCGTCAATCCATCCGCCTACCGATTTCCAAACGCATTCACAATCGGTTCTTCGACGCTGTAACTTAGCCGTTTGACTTTCAATAGGGGATACTTCTAAGCCTAAATTAAATATATTTGAAATAAGATAGTTTAGCAGTTCGCGAAGTAATGAAGATTTAAACTCAAGTGATAATGTTTGATTGTTGCAGGGCCGAGCGCCATAGAGTCGCGCTCGCCAAGCGCTTTCACACCCAACTCATCCAGCATGCTACTGCTGCAAACACACGTAAGTTAAATATTTTCAAAACTGTATACCGATTTTGTATGAAAATAGAAGGTTATCAGACTAAACAAAACCATAAAAAAGATAAAAAAAAATAATATTTTACGAAATGGCAAAATGTGGTAAAATTTTCTCCATTTATCCATAAAGTAGGTACTCACACTTGAGTTTCAATACACATGTATATATACACTGATTTCTCAATTGAAGGGCTTTGTCGCTGTGTGACCACATCGCCCTATGTATACTGAATTATTTTTCCATTAAATGATTTTATTACTAAATAACTTAAGTAGTGGTACGACTACTTTTTACAGTAAGTCTTTTATAATGTCACTATACAAAATAATTCATTCATTAGAACACCTGCACCAGTTGTCAAACAGGTATAGGTACAAGTAGACAATGGGCTAAGCACGCCATTGGTGCGTCATTGCCGCCCCTGCCGGCCATCCGCCGCCTACCATTGCGACGCCTCCATTATTGATTGTTATTTCTATTACAGAGCAACTACGGTTCGTCCTTCACTGATTTATTATCGCCGCAATATCAAGAAGACTCTACAGAAATCTTAGAAGAGAATTTAGACCCATTCCCAGACGTTGAATTTCACGCTCCGGACCCACCCGAAGTTAAATCTCATCGAGATACACCCATCAGCGAAGCCTTATCTCCAACGCTTGGCCCAGCATTGCCCAGTTTTGAAGAAACTTATTCTGTCCGTTACCCAAAACAAGAAATGGCAGAATTCGGAATAAAGATGGATGAGGACTGTTACAACGTGAGCGCTTATCAAGGGCATACGTCTACACAATTGTTGTATCAATATCATCAACCATCTATTCCATACGTGCCAGCGACATATTATGCACCGGCACAGCAATGCAGTCCTACATTTGATACTGGTGGTGTGACCCCAACTTCAGACTCTTACTCATTACCTCCGTTTCCAAGCACGGTGGATTTACACATATCAACTGAGCAAAGTGCAAGGCAACGTCGAGCTTCATTACCTGTTCAACGATCAGAATCAACCAGCTCCAACGATAGCCCAAAAATTCCTGCTAATCGAGTTCATTGTATGCAAGCGTCTGCACCCAGCTCAGCATCAAGTTCACCTGGTGTAGCCCCGCCAGATGGTCCTGGTCACCGTGCTGCACCCTCGTCCCCAAGTCAACTGTGCGCTGTTTGCGGTGATACCGCCGCCTGCCAACATTACGGAGTTAGGACTTGTGAAGGTTGCAAAGGATTCTTTAAAAGGACCGTCCAAAAGGGTTCTAAGTATGTTTGTTTAGCTGAAAAATCTTGTCCAGTAGACAAAAGAAGACGAAATAGATGTCAGTTTTGCCGCTTCCAGAAATGTCTCAATGTAGGAATGGTCAAGGAAGTCGTACGAACAGACTCATTGAAAGGTAGACGTGGTCGACTGCCGTCGAAACCAAAATGTCCGCAGGAATCTCCTCCAAGTCCACCAATATCTCTTATCACAGCGCTTGTAAGGGCTCATGTTGATACATCGCCGGACTTTGCTAATCTCGATTATTCTCAGTACCGAGAACCCAATCCTATGGAGCATCCTATGTCCGACTTGGAAGTAATCCAACAATTTTATACTCTTTTGACTACATCAATCGATATGATCAAAATATTTGCTGACAAAGTGCCAGGTTATGTAGAGTTATGCCCTGAAGACCGAGAACAATTATTTGCATCAGCTCGGTTGGAACTCTTCGTATTACGACTTGCATATCGCACGCGTCCAGAAGACACCAAGTTAACTTTCTGCAATGGCGTCGTGCTCGATAAGCGACAATGCCAGCGTTCTTTTGGCGATTGGCTTCACGCCGTGCTAGACTTCAGCAACACCCTGCATTCGATGGATATAGACATATCTACATTTGCTTGTCTATGCGCATTGACATTAATAACAGGTATGTGTATAATGTCTCTTGTTTCTTATTCTACATTTACATATATATATTTTATGGTAAAAAAAAGAAATATACACAGTGGAACATAGAACCTCCTCCTTTTTTGAAGTCGATTAAAAAGATTAAACGAGCAGACGGGTCACCTGATGGAAAATGATTATCGCCGCCCATGAGCACCTGCAACCAAAGCGACGCAAAGCCCCTTGCCGCCCTTTGAGTGCCCAATCATTGAGCTGGGGTGGGTCCCTTCTTGGGACTTCGGTAAACTCACTCAATGAAAAGCAGCGAAAGTTATGCTTTACCCCGGTTTTCTGTGAGACCGTGGTACCACGATTGAGCCTGCCCATATGTGCCAAAGCAGGGCTCTCACAGGGCAAACAACATATACAACTTATTCCCAGGCCCTATCTTAATATAGGTTAGATTAGATTTAATTAGTTTTCGACTAAAAATGGACATTACTTGTTGACAGAGAGACACGGTCTCAAAGAGCCTCACCGTGTAGAGCAGTTACAAATGAGAATAATCGGGTGCCTGCGCGCGCACATGCCAGGTGGTGGTACCACCAGCGGTGGTGCGCCCCATTTTAGCCGCGTGTTGGGTGCTCTACCTGAACTGCGCTCGCTATCGGTGCAAGGACTGCAGCGTATCTTTTACTTAAAGCTCGAGGACCTAGTGCCAGCACCACCGTTCATCGAAAACATGTTCCGTTCCAGTCTGCCTTTCTGAACGCTCCGCGCCTGACCTCTGAGGACCACTTCCGCCTTCGTAGTCCATTTCCTTCTATCTTAGAGCCGACTCCGTTATTTTTATAAGTGTTTAGATTATAAAAAAATATTTTTCTAGAGTTTAGATGGAAGTTAGTTAGGGCGCGATCTCCCACGGAATCGGTTCGTGCTACTCATGAATTTAAAATATTAAGTACCTAATGGAGACAATCTTACCGAGTAAGTCCTAAGTTAAGGTTAATTTATTGAAAATATTTAGGAATTTGTCCTTTGGGTGTGATTTTGTTTAATATAACAATGTTGTGTATTTAGTAGTCTGCATTTGAGTTACCGCTCGTGATCGATGGCATCTTGTCGTACAAATATTCCTATGTTATTTACTTATGTATTACTTAGATAGGAAAAATCTAGTCACAAGACTTAGAAATGTTAAAAATATGGTTCGTAGTTATCAGGCTTTTATAATTAATATAAGTTAATTTAAGGTTGATAAGGCATTTAATGTCCTTTTGTACGAATGTGAGGTTCCTGTGGCTCTAGTCGCAGGCTGTCTTCGCAAAAATATCTGAGGTGACCGATGAGGTTTCAGGCCCATGCCGACGGCGATATGGCCCACTATTTGCCACCTCTGAATGATGATGATCCCGAGCATCACAGCGATACGATTGTTGGAAGTTACCTTTTAGTTTTAATTGGTTTTGTAATATTTTTAGAAGCTAGGATACTAATGTAATTTGTTATGCTAATTATATTTAAGGCCGGAGAAAAAGTTCAGCATAATTGACGTCCCCAACGCAAAATCCTTAAATTATCAACGTGTCTTAAAGAGTACCTTTATAGGTGGATAGTGTAGAATTTTCTTATGTGGACCTTTTATATGCTTACTTCAATACATATTATATATGTATTAAGTAAATATACATATCACGAAATTATTTTTAATATGTGATCGCACTTTGTATCCATATCCTTTGCAACTTATAAACTAAGCCATTAGGAACAAATTTACATTATTAAAGTGCTAGTAAGACTTGTGTATTTCGGTTGTAGAGATAAATTGGAAATACTAATTTTGTAAGATTAGGATGTACCTAACTTGTATGTACATGTTCGTATTTTTATCTACTGCATTTTCTCGGCGACAAATGGACTAGAATAATATTTTCACTGGACCAAATAGGTGATAACAAAAGACCTAATGCGATATACGATATCACTGAAGATATGCTAAGAATTGTATTACTAATATACCTGCCATATGTGCTGACTTAAAACGGGTTCCTATCTGAGAACGCCTTCGATAAAACAGTAACAGTTTAAATGAAATTTGCCTTGATTCTTTAAAAAGACTTATAACTTACCTACCTATGCTGTAGGTATAAAACGTATGGAAACGATATATAGACAGGTACGCTGTCCAACTTTACAATAAAGATGAGCTACTTTATAATATAATTAGGTATATAGATAGGAGAAAGATGTGAAGTTATATAATAAAAACAGCGGATGGTTGAATGTTCACTGTTTGGCATCTTTACGTCATCAACTTAGAGTGATTGTTGAAATTGGTGTTATCCTTGAAATTCGTATAAGTTATGTAACCAAAAGAAGTAGTACATAAGAAACTTTAAAATACGCACGGAATTTAATAATTTGTATACAAAGAAGTGATAACCTAAATTATTATAAATGCTGGACTTTTTACTCGTTGCCACAACTCCTTTATATTAATTAATTTTATAGATTTCTAGCCATTATCAAGAAATTTATTTGTCGTAACTTTTTAATATGTGACGATTTTTTAACGAATGAACCTGAACATTGTACGTACATATAAATTCTTCGGTTGTGCTTAAAATATTTTCACCTATTCTACCATCTTTAAAGGTTTGTCCATACAATTCTAAATATAAACATTCCTACATTACAAGCTTGATGTACCTACTGACCATGTTTTATCGAAAATATTCCTGAGTACTATTGTTGTAAAGTAAGTAAAACAGACACACAAATTCAAATTAAAACCATAGAATTTCCATTGTTACGTGTGATTGATTAATATTGTATCATATACCTATATGCATAATATAGTAAGATGTTTGCATCTATTAATGATATCGATTTGCAGACATTTAAAACTAAATTATGCCAACTAAAATGTGTAAGACACCGTTAGGACACCGTCTAAAACATACACAGACTAACCTGAATAAAAACTTAAAAGAGCGTTATGATTATTGTGAATGGGCAATGTTACTTGAGTTTAACAATAGCTTAAAAGGAGTAAAGCACAAGAGATTAATATCCAACATTCGCTCTTTAAAGTTTTCCAATAAGATAGAAACTTCATTAACTATGCAAATATCGAGTCCCTAAAGTAACATGGTCTTGTATATTTTACCAACATTACTTAAAAAATATATCCCTCCAATATTGTGTACTGAGGTACCTACCTAAGTATGTAACTGTGTAATAATAACTGAATAAAATAAATTAGTTATACTTTTTCTTCTTTAAGGTTTGTAATGAATTGCATTTCTTAAATCTCAAATATAGATACATAAATTAAATGTGCTTTTGTTATAATATGTTATACATTTTCTTTGTAAATATTTCGTCTAAATAATATCGGTGCTAACGCATCAAACGAATTAATGACTCTTTTATTTACTATGTCTTCTTATTATTTAATGATGTAGTTAATTTGCATATGGGCATAATTCCATTTTATTTAAATTGACCAGAAACATTCGAAAACGATACAGACCGCATAGTAGGTACGTAACATACAACGGGGTACCATGGTCTTAGTTGTATAGAGGCAAAGTGCGGCAACAGAAATAATAATAATAATGGTTGACTGACCCTTAATATTCCAAGTCTGGTTCAGAGCAAACTAAGTGCACCGACCAGTTCATTATGTTTTAATTTCCTATAACAGTTTTCTAGTTACAGTAAAAATTACCAATCTTTTAAGTGCAAATAATTAAATTACAAGATTTTTGTGCTAAAAATTTGTAACGATTACCCTTTACCCTAAAAATTAGTTATAAATTTCATAAGAAGGGATGAAATGTGGTGTGTGAGGTATAATTGCACTCTGACCGAATTAAATCACTATTATAAGAGTTCCTAAAAGTTCATAAAGGCGTAAAATTTCGTTAAATTTACTTATTAACATTTCTTTGCTTATTTATTTTAATGAATTCAAAAACTTTTAAACAAGACATCGATCAAAAAGGGGTAGACAGAGCCATATTAAACACTCTTATTGCACCAACAGTACTTTGGTGCGTCTCATGTAATCAGGAGAAGAGAGCCTGACGAATAGTATATTGATAGAAAAATTGATAAGAAGAAAAGTCAAGTAATTGGAGGAAGTGAAGGTCACATACTTGAGACTCAAACTGACTATCGCCGCTAAAGCTCTCCAAAATACTCACTTAAGCAAAAAAATATTTGTGGTAATCAGTAAATACCTACTGTTACCAAAGCAGTTTCAAAAAGTACCTATTTAAAAACACCACACGCAAAACATATACCTATGTATATTATTATATTAGGTATGGTTCAGTATCTGGTAGGGTTACCACACGTGTCCTTCATAGATAACTTATGAGGTACATCACAAGCAACTTCGTTATATCATACCCATGTTACAATGATTGTATTTTCCAACCTCTCCTAAAGAAGAATAATTTAAAGACGTGATTTTCTTCCTGTTCTTCACATTTTACACTGAGTTAGTTTTGGAGTGAAAAAACTCAATCGGTGCAGAACTTTTTGAGTTTTGGAAGCTTACACAAAACAACTTAACATTTTTATATACTTATATAAATTATATATGTATAGATGATGACGACTCTAATGTCACAAAATCAAAAGCGCCTTTGTCAACGCTATGGCAACTAACCCTGAACCCTAATACCTGATAGATCCCTATCAGGCAACTAAAAGCTACAGGGATGTTGAACGGAGAATGCTACTGCTAATCCTAAGTTGGGCGGTTACCGTGCATAAACTAAAGGACACGACCCTAAAAATGTTTATGTTGCACTAAGTCGCGTAAAGATGGCATAAAGATGGTGTTGCTCCTTGAGACTTAGAGCATCACAAAGACAGAAAAAGCAACGATTAAGACTAATTGTAAATATTTAAATTAGAATACTAAGACAAGCTAGGTATGTAGTGCAGGTTGCTAATCCAACCCTCAGCTTTGCATGTCTTTTCGTCTTGTCCATGTCGCCATCTTAAAGTATCATCCAACTCCTAACCGTTAAGGAGTTTTTCCTTCCATCACCAGCTCATCAATACGACATAATGACTACCAGACGCAAATACTAGAATAGCTTTAGAATTTATATATGTGTAATGATGTCGGTATATGGCTATCTCCTAAGGATAACCCACAGTAACCATTTTTATCTTTTATCGTCCCGGGTGGCACCGGCAGGCAGGATCTCGCGGGCTAAAAATATTACATATAAAGATGTCCTGTGGTATAGTCCTATCATAATAATAGTATAATGCATCACTCCACACTGACACCACACTAGTAGTATCAATAGCAACTTCGTTGCCCTCGTGCGAAGCCGGGGCGGATCGCTAGTAATTATGTCGATCCGTTCCTGCCGGCCGTTCCCACCCGGGACGGATTTACGGGCGGACGGCCCCTTTGCCTCCGCATTTTAAACCACTAATATCACAACGCACAACGTATCTAATGTAAGTATTTAATTGGATAAGAAATAATAATGTATTTTTTTTAAATAGTAGTAGATGTAGATCTTCGTATGGCCACCAGGACCGACGCTTCACTTGCTCTCACGAAGGGGTCTCAATGGTTTAAGAATCTTTACCCATCCATAGCCTGACCTGGCTAGAATTGCTTAATTTTGAAATGTGTTAACCTACTCGGTTACCACTTAGCCACAAGCCCCTCTAAACTTACGCATGCGTTAAAAAAGAAAAGTGTTTACGTTTAAAGAGGTTTTTATACTTTAAGGTTTTTATACTTTTTATTGATGTTGAAATTTTGAGAACAGACAGATTCTCAGATACTACGTTTCTCTCAACAACATTTAAAATTTTGAAAAGCTCTTTAGATGTGTCTCGTCATGGCTTGAATCCTGTAAACACAACTGTTTGAAGCGTTAAGCATTCAAAACATGCTTAATATTTTAGTGTCCTCTGCAACTTGCGAACGCAGCCTATGGCGTCCGAAATCAAATTGACGTTTAACGTCAAGAGCCGTCAAGTTACGATAGTTAGTTATTACGAGTTTATAGTTTACCTACTTATCTTTACTGGTTAAAATAATAAATGGGTACCAGTTTATTCTAAAGCAAAATAATATTCATTATAGTTTCCTTTACTTAACACCTGTATTATATTTAGTCGTTTGAGCATAGTTTTATTGCAAACGTACGTGTGTAATGTTTTAGAGTTAGGTTTATGTTAATTGAAATTACTATTATAAAACAATGTCAGGGTCTACAGATATTAAAGACGTATTAGACAAAAACCTCGAAGACTTTGAAATACAAGAAGTATTGCGAAATGGCACCGACTTACGCGAATATGCTCTACAACTGGACAAGAGTATTAAAGATGCTGAGAAAACTTCAGTTTCTGACTACTTAAAGGAAAGTGAGAACATTGCTTCACTTCATAACCAAATCGAAGATTGTGATGGTATTTTGGCGAAAATGGAAAGCATGCTTATGGTATTTCAAGTGAGTAATCAAATTATTTTTATCTCTTAAAATATGGCTGTTCAGTCCAACCTGTTCACACACCACAAAATCTATTCAATATATCTTGTAAAGTACTATGTGATATTATATTTTCTCAGCACCTGTGTCATGTCTAGCCTCCATGTAGGATAAGGCAGTTAAGAAAGTTTTATTATTGTAAATCAAATATGTTCTTAATTTCAGAATGATTTAGGAAGTATCAGCAATGAAATAATAAGTCTACAAAAGCGTTCAGTCAACATGTCCGTGCAACTGTCAAATAGACAAGTACTCAAAGGACCGCTCTCAACTTTTATAGAAGATATGGCAGTTTCTGAAACTCTTATTTTGTAAGTATAAAATTTATGAAAAGTAAAGTAACATTCTAAACACATCATAAAAACTTGGTTACAATTATAAATTGTTTATTACAGTGGTGTTAATAATGTACCTGTGACTGATAAGGAATTTATGGTTCAACTTGCTATTTTAAACCAAAAATTGAACTTCGTAAAGGAACAAGATTTTAAGGAAACTAAAGCGTGTCATGATGTGAAGGATGTCTTAGAAAAGCTCAAGATAAAAGCTGTATCAAAAATAAGAACATATATTTTAGAACAAATCTATAAATTTCGTAAACCAATGGCCAACTATCAAATGCCTCAAAATGCTATGTTAAAATATAAATTTTTCTTTGAATTTATTCTAACCAATGAGAGAAATGTAGCACAAGAAATTTGTAATGAGTATATAGATACATTGAGTAAAGTGTACTACTCATACTTCAAATCATACGCTTCAAGACTAGAGAAGCTAAAATATGAAGAAGCACCAACAAAGGATGATCTCATGGGGATTGAAGATGGTGCTAAGGGTGGATTTTTCCAGAAATCCAATTTGAAAAATAAAAGCACAATATTCACAATAGGCAATAGAGGTGATGTCCTAGCGCAGCAGCTTGAAGCACCTATCATTGTACCTCATGTACAACAAAAGACAAAGGTATAAACAATTGTGAAGTGTTTTTATGTAATTGTCATGCTTTTATGATGAATTTTTATGAAACTCTGGTTCTTGCTCTATTGCTTACCCAGGCGTTATGAATAATACTTACGAACAATGAACAATGCTTGATGACCAGATGGCGTAGTAGTTTGTATAACAGTCTACTAATTCCAAAGGTTGCGGGTTCAATTCAAGGTACAAGCTCTGCTTAGTTTGGGACTAGATGGTGTTGTGTCATTGTGGTAGAATATTATTATTATTATTATTTATAAATATATATATATGATACTAATAATAATAACTTCACACATTACACAGGGCTGTCTGATTCCAAACTAGGTAGAACCTGTGCTATGGTAACCTGATCACTGATAAACATGGTTATATATATTTCTAAATCCATATGTATTATAATTAAATTACACCCAGACCAATCAAATGATCGTGCACTGGCACTGTTATATCATCAAGCCTGTGTGGACTTCCATCTCTTAAATGCTTTATAATATATTACTTGATCTGTAACAAATATAGCTTATGTATGTATAAATATAGAGAAGAATTTATTTGCAAATCTTTTTATGAAATTATCTGTTTTTATTACAGTACTCATATGAAGCGTTATTCAGAAGTTTACAGTATGCTCTAGTGGACAACAGTTGCAGAGAGTACTTATTCACTACAGAATTCTTCCATGTTAAAGGAAGTCATGCTCAAGAGCTCTTTGATAGGATCCTTGGAAAAACTTTGTCATTACTTGTGGTATGGCTTTTACAATATGTAGTAAAGTATGAAACGATGATACATATTCTATATTTAATTTATACATATGGTATTTGTATTTACGAGGTAGCTTCCAAAATATTAATCTTCACTTTTTTTAAACTTCCTCTATACACACATACCATGAATCCATTTCCCCCAAAGGTTGACTGGTAGAAAATGATATTATGGCATTAAGTCCACCTCATACAAAAGCAAATACCAGAAATACTAAATAATATGTTAATATAAAAATGGTTTTGTTATTTCAGAAAAATGTTGAGAACTATGTAATTGAATGTTATGACTGTTTAGCATTATATCTCTGTATACAGCTGATAAACAGATACAGATGGATGTGCCACAAAAGAGCAGTTGCAGCCTTAGACAGGTACACAGTGCTTAGAATTAATCCTACTTCTCCACTTCCTTTAATTTGGTCACCATGTAAAAATCTTGACAATTACTTATCAATGTAAATTCTTCAATAGCTACTAATAAAACCCTCAGTTCATTTTGTTAACTGACCCCTTTTTTTTTTCCCGTGCGGAAATCCCCTCGGATACCACCTGGTCGGTGGCATGTCGGACTCGAACCGACTAAAACCGCACGCCGTCTCGGGTACTAATAGCCGGGGAACCAGGTATACCCTAGAAAGGAAGTCCCTGGTACCCCGACATACCTCGGGTCATCTACAGACGAGTAGACGACCCCCCCCCCCACCCGTGTGGGAACCCCATGTTCCCGGTGCTTCCTGGAAGCGAGTGCTTTGTGATGGATCCGCTTCCACAATAGCCTTTAATTCTTTTCCTTCCTTTCTAATTCCACTTTGGTCTCCGGCCGGCCCCGGGGTTGGTTCTGAAGGTCGAAATTTCCAGAACAAAAACGTTGAAACCAAAAACGTACCGTGCTTTCTTTTGCGACACCAGCGCCATACACCTCATAAATCCTTCGAGCTGTTTCTGCAGCACTGGTGCCACGGTAGAACTCGTACTCGTAAATATACCGATATTTCATAATAAATAAGCTGATACAACTTGAAGTAGTTATATTTAACAATGATTCTTACTTTCAGTTATTGGGACTCATTGCAAAATACTTTGTGGCCTAGATTGGATTATGTATTGAAACTTAACACACAGAGTGTGCGAGAATGCGATCCAGCTAAATTGTCTAATAAAGAATTGGGACCACATTATGTAAATATATAAAAGTTCATATGATTTTTTATACACATATTTCTATTATAGCTATAACACATCAATAACTAATTACAGATCACTCGAAGATATGCAGAGTTCTCAGCAGCAATGCTTAGCTTAAGCGAACAGTTTCCTTCAGAAGAACTCAGTAATCTTTTACTAATTCTTCAAGACGAAGTCCATTGTTACTTACTCAAAATGGCAGCTGAATTTCCGCAACGTATTCAGCAACTAATATTTCTCATAAATAACTATGACATGGTGTTGAGTATATTAATGGAAAGAACAAGGGACAATACAAAGGAAGCAGAAAGTTTTAAAGAACAATTACAAGCCAGAAGTTCAGAATATGTTGAGGAGATATTAAGCCCACACTTTGGTGGGATGATTCAATTTGTTAAAGAAGGTGAACAGTTGTTTGAATCTGATAAAAAAGCAGAATTAGCTAGTTTAGAAAGAAAATCACTTTCTCTGGTTGCTTCATTCAGCTCTGGGTGGAAGCAAAGTCTTGAGGAAATTCACAGAGAAGTTTTAATATCATTTCCAAATTTAGTCACCGGGTCTGGTCTACTGCAAATGGCTCTCACGAACTTCGTGCAATACTATCACAAATTTGCCAAGCTACTGACGCCTAACGCTAGAACGCAATTAGTCAATATTCATGTCATTATGGTAGAAATCAAGAAGTACAAAACAAATTACTAAATGAGTTTACGTTATTGAAGTGCTTAATCGTTATTTGCGCTGTAGATGGCAATATCTAAAATGTAGATGTGCATTAAAATTTCCACATCTATATCAAATCAGTCAAATTCATGAAAATCGCAATCCGTCAAAATAGAGAACCGTAAAACCTTCATAAAATTACAATTCTACACAGCAAAAAAAATAACTTCAAACAAATAATATCCGTTATTGGTTGCAATAGAAACCTAATCTATATGCTATTCTATAAGCTACAGACTGTACAAACAACCAGAATCTTTTATGACAAGTAATAAATACTATTTAATCGTAATATTATTTTTTATATTTGACCAGCCAATCTCTGCATTTCATTCTGATATAACTAACTAGCTTTTGCCTACAGCTTTACTCGCGTCAATAAAATTGGCCAGGATAAATAAATAGTACCCTCTGTTCTATTCCAGCCAGACTACCAGATCCAGAAAACCGTTTTATATGATTGAGTAACAAACATACTTATGTATTTAAAATTCATAATGGACAATTAATTGCATAGATAGGTAGATAATTATATCTAAGAAAAATTATATAATACATATATATTATATTATCATAACATCACAATCAAGATAGCATACAGCCGCCTATCATTTCGACATCGACGAAAGTCGGGTTCGCATTTTAGACACCCTAGCAGATTCATCATATCCGTAAAGTTTTATATGTTATTTGTGTATATATGTATGTACGTAACTCTGCAAGTATATATGTATGTGTATAATAAAATTTATTTATTATATTATCTATGACCTTACTAGGCATGGGAAATACAGTTATAAAAATATAACATTTTCACAGTATTACATGGGCTGAAAATTCCCGGGCCTAACACATAGATAATGCTAGTTTTATTGCAGCCACCTTTTTTTCAGTTAATACTAACCTTCAAAAGACAGCTGTTAGAATTTCATGATATTCTATTCATTAGTTTGTGAGTTATTGTGTTAAGAGTGACGCTACTTTTGTTATTTTCAAAACAATGGATCAAAAACAATTTCGTGTTTTGATTTTACACTGCTTCTTGATGGGAAAAAATACCGTTCAAGCGAAGCAATGGCTTGAAAAGTGTTATGGGGACTCAGCTCCATCAGAAACAACAATAAAACGTTGGTTTGCTGACTTCAAACGTGGTCGTAGAGACACCGATGATGCAGAACGCAGTGGACGTCCAAATGAGGCGGTAACATCAGAAAACAAAAAAAAACACAAAATCGTTTTGAATGATCGAAAAGTGAAGTTGCGTGAGTTAGTTGACATCGTAAAGATATCAAAAGAACGTGTTGGCTTTATATTGCATGAGCATTTGAGAAAGCTCTGTTCAAAGTGGGTGCCGCGTTTACTCACTGTTGACCAAAAACGAGAACGTGTAGATGATTCTGATCAGTGTTTGGCCATGTTTAAACGTAACAAACCGGTTTTTTGCGTCGATATTTGACAATGGATGAAACATGGATCCATCACTTCACTCCGGAATCAAAACGATCGTCATCTGAGTGGACAGCAACTGGTGAACCTCGTGCAAAGCGCCCGAAAGCACAACAATCGGCTGGAAAGGTTATGGCCTCTGTATTTTGGGATGTGCGTGGTGTAATATTCATCGACTAACTTGAGAAAGGAAATACCATTAACAGTGAATATTATATAGCGTTATTGGAGCGTTTGAAGGCCAAAAGTGTAAAGAAACGACCGCATATGGCATAGAAAAAAAAATTGTTTCATCAAGACAACGCACCGTGTCACAAGTCAATCAAAACAATGGCAAAACTACATGAATTGAACTTCGAATTGCTCCCACATCCACCGTATTCGCCAGCTTTGGCTCCCAGCGACTATTGGCTGTTCGCAGACCTGAAAAAAATGCTCGCCGGTAAGAAAATTCGCACGAATGAAGAAGTTATCGCTGAAACTGAGGCCTATTTTGAGGCAAAAGATAAATCGTTCCACAAAAGTGGTATTGAAATGTTAGACCGGCGCTGGAATGATTGCTTTGCTCTTGATGGAGATTACGTTGATGATTAAAGCTAATTTTGAACCAAAAAAACTGTGTTTTCTTTGTTAGGCCCGGGACTTTTCAGCCCATGTGTTAGTTAGATTTTTTTGTCGCGGTTATTATCGGTAGTGAAAAAGCACGACAGTTACATTTATCGAGAAGGCTACAAATAACAATTCGTCACTTTTTCACTTGATTTTACATTAATATAGATCATGATATTTTTATCGCCCGTCATAATTTTGTTATTTTTTTTGCATTTATTTTTTTAATAAAACAGGCCACTATTGCTATTGAGGAAGACTGATTCCGTCCTGCGTTTTCTGCTTAGACGAGTTTTCCTAGATTCTCACATTTTCAGATAGCCTATATATTTACCTACATATAAATCTATGTCTAATATTCACATCTATAAGAGTCTATTGTTTATTGAAGTTTTTCATAAAAAACTTTAACTAATTTAAACCTATCCGTTGTGTACGCAAATTACTATATACTATACTGTTTTAAGAATATTACCTAAATGTACTGCACGGTCGCTTTTTAGTAGCCATCCGAACTCGGTAGGGTAATGTACGAATTGCGGCGATTGTCAGTATTTTACTTGTATTTTGTTAATTATTTAGTGTAAAGAAATGAAATTTTACATGTGCATATTTGAATTAATGCACTCATTATTGGAATAGGTTTTATAACGCATTTCCTTTAGAATCTCGTGCAATAAGACTGCATAATATTGTATTTGAAACAGTGGTCCAGTCATGGTAAATTATTCCATAGCTCATTAATCACTAAGAGTACAGATCAATGATACTTGGTAAGACGTTGTAGATGCTTACAAGGTATGCATAAACGTTATAATCTAGACCCTAGTGCATAAGCCCTAAGTACTAGGACCTAATAACCTTATTTTACGTTTATATTTATATCTTCTGAATGATATGGTTTTTTAAAATCTTTTTTTACAAACAGTAAGTATAAACAAATTGAAATGTAGCAAATGGCCAAACGTTGTTGCAGCGGAAACTTGAATATCTTCGCAGTTTATTGGCGCACAAACATTGATATAATACTTACATAGATGAGTAATTCCCGCCTAAAATCGTTACTACTGCACATCTGTCCACAGGCATATGCGTAGCAAACGTCAATTCAGTATTCAATGTGGCGTCAACCGAGTTGAACATAGCGACACATGACAGTAACAATCGCCAAAATGGCTAAATGCGTAGTGAAAGAATGCGATTCAAGGTCACAAAACATTAATAAATCATGCGAAATTACTTTTCACGTGTAAGTTAATGGTTTTTGTATTGATAATATCGTAAATAAGGCTATAATTGAAATAAAACACTGATAATTGTAATTTAGAATCAGTGTTACCATTAAAAAATCATTTTGGTTTTCCCACATTAGTGGGAGAATTTATAATTTATGAAATAATATGCTTCATACTGTTTTTAAACATTTTGCCAATAATAATAAAATATAGGAAGAACGGTAGTTGTTAGGGCTGGACCGATCACTTTTTTTAGGGACCCGTTGAACGTTCACTGCGAGCTTGGGAGAAGTGCCAAGCTCGCAGTGCTGGAGACTTTTGTACAAAAGAATTAATTCATTGTTTTTCTTAATTTATTATCAATTTCAAATAATAATTGTACAAAATAATAATAATAATAATAAAAAATGTTTATCATAAAAATAAAAATATAAAATAAAAAAGTAAATAAACATAAATAAAAAAAATTATAAAATATAAATTAATTTTTTTTTTTTTTTATTTGTTTTTTAAATTATAATAGAATTTGCAATACACCCTGGGGATTATTTATTATCAGTACAAGTTGATCATTCACTTTTGTTATTAAATGCTATTATTTTTATATTGCTGCTATTGTTTATAAAATAAGATTGTATCATGAAAGTAAAATATCCACACAAACTTATAAAAAAGAGTCTAAAAGACCATTGTATACAAAACTGATGCTTCACAGCGCAGTTTGATTTTACACTGAATATAAACCCTTTTAACCAAATATTTCCAGTTATTTTATTATTTATACCTATTCTATTCAATTCGAAATATATTATTTAGAATATTTAAATTAATTTATTTTATTACAAAATTGTTTTAAAAAAAAATTGTTTCTTAGTTGTTATGGGTAAAATTTCATACGGTAGTCAACACTGGCCCACCATCGTAAAGTTATATCTTTGTCTTTGTCTAATCCGAGCGATGGTATTGTTCTTGTCTCGCGTGTAAATGAGACATAAATATGTTTACTTTCAAATGTTTAGTGGTATCAAAGCTACGTCGTCAAAGTTCAAAAGTGGTTACACTTTTTTCGACGTGTGATAATGAGGTTTGCTTCTCTAGTGTTGTTTTAACTCAATGCGCACAAATTTAATTTAAACATACACAATTACCTCACGTCATACACTAATTTTTGATACCATTTTTTTTCCTCTACGTCCATGGGATAAAAAAAATATCGAAACAGTTTTTCGTGAATAACTCGGCAATGGTTGGATGCAAAAAAATTTACTTACCATACACAATTACACGACGTTATACACTAAATATATGTTAAACTCAAACAATAAAATTCGAACTTTTTCCGTTAGGGGAAACGCACACCTGAATATGAGGCACCTAAGGTCGGCTATGAAGATCACAAAACGACTTCTCCCTTTTTCTAGCAAACTGACTAAAATTCCTGTCATTGTATTGTTGAGATCCATTCTAGTTCAGGCATAAAACTGGATTTGACAACTTACTGTAATATTTGTAGGGTTTAAAATATATTATAAGTGATATAAAGTAAATGAATGTCATTAACGTTTGTTAGTTTTATTTTGATTCTCTTGAAAACTTGCAAAATTTGAGAACCGATCCGACCTCGTTTCAATTTGTATACATCTGTATATAATAGTATAAAGTTAAGAAAAAGATTTGTGTTTGCGTTTTTGAACAATTTTGTCGTCCGCTAACCATTTCATTAAATTAATTTATTTTATGTACTCGTAGTGACGAATTAAGAATATTATAAAGCTGAAGAGTTTGTTTGTTTGAACGCGCTAATCTCAGGAACTACTGGTCCGATTTGAAAAATTCTTTCAGTGTTAGATAGCCCATTTATCGAGGAAGGCTATAGGCTACATATCATCACGCTAAGACTAATAGGAGCGGAGCACCAATGAAGAACGTTTCAAAAACGGAGAAAATTTATTACTATTGAGAGACGCAGACGAAGTTGCGCGGGTCAGCTAGTTAAGAATATGGCGTTTCACAAAAAACAGGTGCTTTCCGAATTCAATAATAAGATCTGGAAATCGTAATTAAACGACTAGTTTCTGTCGAGATAGTTTTATTTAAAACTTACTTTTTTAAATACCACAGTTAAAAGCGTCATATATAACGCGATGACTATCAGAAAATGATTCTTAACATCAAAGAAACGAGTCTGCTACGAACTTTAGTAACATATGCACAGGTACAAATATGTAACACAGCTATACTAAAAACGCTACAAGAGTTCGTATTCAATTCGTTCAGGGTTCACAATGGGAATCATTTATTACACAAATATTAATTTATACCTAATTTCTAAATATTTACATATTTGTACATAGAAATAAAATACAAAACATAGTTTTACTTGCTTTGCTACCCTCTAACACTATAATGAACACCAACTGCGGTTAGAGCCATGTCATACAGGTAATAACTGCCTACTCTTTGGTAGCCGTGATTTTTTTAACCAAAAATACCCGGCAAAGATAACTTTGCTAAAAACACTAAAGATAGCAGTCTTAAAGTGTACTTCGCTAAAAGATGTACATTTCATTTAACTTTAAGAGAGCTTGAAGTGAAAGACTAACTATATAAGTATATGCATTTACTGATTCATCTTTTATTCTCCGTAGCCAAAGTGCGAGTATTGTCTTAAAGGGTAGACAGACATTATTCTAAAAATCTTGTGTCGGTATGAAGATTGCCTTAACTGCACTGAACTGCGGTTCTGCAGTTAAAGATGAGATAACAAAAGCTCAAATTCGAGATGCGCATTAGATAAAGAGCTGGATGCGAGAAGCCCAAAATCGATCTAAGTGGCGTGCAATGGGAGAGGCCTATGTCCAGCAGTGGACTGCGATAGGCTGATGATGATTAGATAAAGAGGCGACTAAGGGAGCAAACTACAACGGCACTGCAAAGAGAAAGAAAATTTCACACAATCCTACATCAACCCGACTGGCCGTCAATAGTAGGCTAAAAAGAGCTCTATGTCTAGTGGTGGACTATTAAAGGTTGATAATTAGATAATTATAACAATAAAAGTAAATAGAATAGCAGTATTGAATAGTTTTTTTCTTTACGAGACTATGATAAGGCTTGAATGAAACAACGTTTATTTCATTTCAATAACAAGACAAGAACGACAAAAATGCTACTAAGTCGGTTCTGTTGATTATTCATTCTATACATATTTCGTGGTTACTATTGTTTAGTGTAGAAAAGCGCACTGATTGGTAATAAAAAAGAAAGAGTAGTAGACGGGACTGCCCTGCGTCCTTAACTTAAATTACAACAAGCCATAATTATTGTTTCCTTGACAAAACTTTACATACAATGAGGTAATTACTTGTGATGACAATACTCGCACAATGGCAATACTCATGGTATATAATACTTACATTGTTACTCATACAACACAGACTACATGAACATGAAGCACATTTTCAATAACTTATTTAGCAAGTGCCTTAGACTACGCCAATACTACTTGCGCATTACTAAAGGATATCCCATACTTTTTACAGACATTTATTATTATAGTTCAGCTCAACCAAATAAATACTTAATGTATTAGGTATATATATTTATATGTATGTATTGTTACACTTATATAAAGGTTTATAATTAGTTTGAATTAGACGGTCGCGATAAGTTTTTTAACCACGTATTTAAAGGTTTCATTCTAATATATATACGAAACAATTCTGCTAGTTCAGGTGACATGATCTCCATTTTTCTACTTAGTAGTATTTCATTAACTCGTTGTGCATTATGTCGACTCATAATTAGCATGCTACTAATGGATGCCTCTTTGGTTCTTTTTGACGCTGCAAAAGAAATATATAAAGATTAATTAAACACAATGCACTATACTTTACCATATCTAGATTATTATGTGGTCCAGAGGTTTAGAAACAATGCCATCACAAATACACGTACAAAAAAATTATGTGGATAAAGGGCACAATGTTAATTGCTTTCATTATCGACATCATTCATAGTGGCTACAACGCTCATACATTAAAAAAGATTGTACGATATTTTTTTGTTTCATTAAAATCAATAACACAATATTCATATAATTAAGTGATTTCGCAAAATGTCACGCGTTAGCCACTTGTAATACAATACAATAACATTATATATATTGCTTACCTATTGTGTTAAGAACATTCAAAAGTTGATTTAGAGCAATTTCACAGTGAACTTTCATGTCAATAGGATAAGGTTTTATGAGTGGTCCAATTAGCGAAACACAGAACGTTATTATATGCTCGGGTAAACTTTCTTTTTCTATAAATTGAAACAATCGCTTTATAATATTGTTTTGAGTCCATTTCGGACCATTGCGCTTAGCAAGTATGATTATAGCAATTCGTAACATCTTCTTTTCACATGGAATATCTGTAAAATAAAAAAAAAATTGGCATACTATTGGTAATAGTCGTTCATGGAGAGTTCAATGTTTAAAACATGCTAAGAAAAAAACACTGAACTACTTGTTGTCATAGAAATATCATGAAGATAGATATATAGAACTCATTAATAGGGAAGTAAATTAAAACATAATTACCTCTTAGTTCACTAATCGAATTTCCAACTAACTCTAAAATTTTCCCTTCATTCCACTCCGTCACTTGATACGAATACTTCCGCTGTAATATATTTCTGATGTCTTGTACTCTAGAAAACCGGTCTTCACACTTGTAGAAATGTAAAAGATATACAAATATTGTAATTAAAGGGGTTTTGGCTGAAAACAAAATGAAATATTATAATATATAATCAATTATAAACAACTAATATAAAATAAGTGAACTTAAAGCCATACCTGCAGTCATGTGTGCTAATGGAATGATGTGAGGCCACACTTCCAAGCACTCTTTAATAAGCGGTGCAGATTTGTACAGAATACAATACATAGCATCAAGCATGAACACTTTTAGACGACTCTGTAGACCAAAATATCTACAAAGTAGAGCATAAAAATGCGACACACTTTCAATAACTTCAAACTCTGGTGTTCGGTTTAGCTTGAATAAGGTATGTTCTAGACTGGATAGCAGAGTTTCGACGGTATCAACTGGCCGCCATTGAGTTCTAAGTTGCCTTATTACGAAAAGGAGAACGGCCTCAGACTTAGTCATTTGCGGAGCAGGTGGGGATGCTATTTTTCCAAACAACTCAATCTTCCTTTCTGGATTTGTAAGATATTTTGTAAGACCAGCCACAAAAATTTTATAATCATATGTTTTACACTCCTCTACTAATTCGATCATCATAGCATTATCTTTATTAATCGGCCCTTCAAGTATTCGCGACATATATTGTTCAATATTACTATTTACATTTTTCAAGACTGCATCTGAAATATATTTTTAGATTTTATTGATATTATGTATAAAAACTAAAATATATGTATATAATACACTTTAAATTAAAATAGTTTTTATTTTAAAAGTAACAAATCCTTAAAAGTAAATCGTCGTAATAAATAGTCTTAAAAAGTTGGTTCTAGAACACTATCTTTTTAATTTATTTAGTTTTTATGGGCAATAATTCCTCATATTATTATATCATAGGTAATAAAAATACTCACCTGGAATATGTCGCACAACAGGCCTTACTTTACTTATGCCATATTTTTCTATCATAGAACACAAGATACTTTCTTTAGGATGACAAGATATATCTTCTTGAGCCGATATACCAGCAGGAGAAACTTCTTTATAGCTTTCGTCATGTTCTTTGGTATTAAAGCTTTGACTCACACTACTACGCAATACTCTCTTACTTTGTATGTCAGAACTATTGGACAATTTACGTTTTCTCTCTGCGCTTTGAACCGGTCTGTTTATAGATAAGTCTTTTTGTAATAAAATCGAATTTTGTTTCGGTAAAGTAGTTTCAAAATAAATTCCATCATTTTTATTAATACCTGCAGTTATTGGTGGTTCTTTTCTAAGTTTTGGTGAAGTAATAGTCGGAGTTAATAGAAGAGAATTCTGGTTGGTTAAAGTAGTTTCAAAGTTGTCGGCACTTTTACTAATACCTGCAGTTATTGGTGGTGCTTTTCCAAGTTTTGGTAAAGTAATTGTCGGAGTTAATAAAACAGAATTCTGGTCTGGTAAAGTTGTTTCAAACTTGCCGACATTTTTACTAGTATCTGCAGTTATTGATGGCGCTGTTCCAAGTTTTGGTGAAGTAATAGTCGGAGGCGATGATGACATAAACAAACGCTTAGAAACATTATGTGATTTTGGCAATGTAACTGTACTTTTTGGCGATATAGCAGCAAACTCCAAGAGTCGACTCGAACGTCTGGGAGAAGTGATCGACGTTGTCGGAGATGATGTTACAAGTGAGGGCGATCTTTTCGTAGGGGTCGAAGATACAATAGTTGGCTTCGGAGATCGTAAAACAGGTATCGATGACGTAATAGTAAGATCTGGAGATGTGCTTGCAATATTTGGAGACGGATCAATTAACTTTGAGGATCTGATAGAACGTCTACGTGATATTGTTGGTGGTGTTGTTTCTGGTATCGGAGAAATAATCTTCGGTATTGGAGATGTGAACCCAGAAGAAAATATTGGTTGAGTTGAACCAGATTTCAAATCTGTTTTACATTCAGCAGCACTATGATGCTCGTTTACCGCTGTTATTTTCTGTTGAATTTTTGTAGTAAGCACGGTATCTACAGAATCTTTGGTGGGCACAGCATTTAGCTCAGCCATTACTTTTACAGCTTTAGCGTAAACTTGTTCATCATTGAGTGTAGCAGAGGTGTCATTTTTTGTTACCTTTTTAACATCATGGCAAGGTACCTGTTTTGGTTTGATATGCAGTTTTTTTAACGGTGGTGTTTCTCTTCTAATCTTATAATTCCGAACCTCACATTTATTTCTGTATTTAGCTAAATTTGTTAATTTTCTAACACTTCGCCCCTTGGCTACTTTAGTTGGTGATACAGTTTCTTTTTCTGCGCTACTGTTTAAACACATAACACTATCTATTCTTTTAGGACTCCCATTTTGCTTAATACACTTTTCAGATACTATTTCCTGCACTGGATGAGCCAAAATTTCGTTTGCAACTTGTTTCTCTCTTAAATGGTCTATATTAGCGGGTTTTATAATTTGTTCGGATATTACTGTTATAAGAGACTCAGGCGCTAATTTCGAAGAGGTTGGTAACTTAACTGATTCTGTTTGTTTTATTGAATTATCTGATAAGTTTGCTGATTCAAATAAATTATGGTAATCATAATTGAAATTGACACCAGAAACATTTTCAAACAAGTCTTTTTCGGGTGTTGAATCATTTAGATGTTCCAATGCTGTACCAGGCGCAGAAAATCGGCTTTTAAGAAAAGATTTAATATAAAACATTTCTTTCATCACTTTAGCCAAATTCGATATTAATACTTTTTGACTTTTCTTTGTTTTTGCTATATCTTCTTTTGCTTGCGCAGCATCTTCTCTTGCTGCTTCTGACACATTCTTCGCTATAGCTGAATCAGCGCACGTACAATGACTTAAATATTCAGCCTGATCGTGATGAGTTTGTGATGCTGCTGATTTCATCCCAATCTTCTTAGGTGTTTTTGGGATTGGTGTTATAAGTTCATGATCCAATCGCATTTTGCTTAATATCATTTCTATTTCACGGTCGGTGTTATAATCCACTTCTAGATTATTACTGCTGTTTAACTGTAAGTAATCCTTTGCTCGTTTTTCTCTTAAATCTATATCAGTTATATGTTGAACAATTGTCTCAGACCTTTTTTCATGAATGACACTATGCGGCGCGTTTTCTATAATTTGAACAGGACAATGTACCTCTGTAACCACGATATTATTATTGGGCTCAGTTAAATCTACATTATTTATATTTAATTCTGTTTGATGTTCAGACTCTTTGCATGTTTCAGATTGTATATTTATTGGACTGGTTGCTACGTTGGCCATTACCACTGATGGTATAGGACTGATCGCCACATTAACCATTACCACTGATGGTATAGGACTGATTGCCATATTGACCATTACCACTGATGGAATAGGGCTAGTTGCTATTTCACTAACTTTTACAGGCAATACAGGACTAGTAGCAATATCGACTAATTTGCTAGAACGAATTTTATCCACGCCTTCTCCATTTATAGGGCTAAAATAGTAATCTGGGCTATTTAACCATTTCTCGTTATCGGAAGAAGCAAGAGAAGAACCGCAACCAGTATCAACACTTACTCTTTCAATTTTATAATCACTATCAACTTCCATGGGTGTATTATTTTTATTGGTAGTGGAGCTGGGAGTCTGAAATTAAAAAACCAAAATCTATTTCAAATACACATCAGATAAGTTACTAATAAAGTAAGAATAAGACTAAGAAAATCTTTATTTGTACATTTTTTAAATTAATAACAATACTGGAATAACAAATAATACTTGAAAGACAAAATGGTCTTGGACTCAGCATGTGGATGACAGTGCAAAGCATGCCATCCACTGTTATTCTGCCCAAGCCAATCATGGTTAACAGTCTTAGAATAAGCACAACGACAACACCCTGACCCAACCATATTTGTGTACGTAAACATTATCACTCCACACTCCGTAACAATACAAGTGTTGCAACATAAAGGACTTTACATTACTTTAGTTAAGTCAACATAACATTAAATTATGTGAATAGATGGATGCTACGAACACAGATCAATATATTACATTATTAAGTAGCCACCTCCGATTGCCTCACCAACAACCACCTACTGCAACGTGATTTAAATGCCCTTAACAATAGACATGACATGGGTGGTGATTGAACCCTTGATTTTATGTAATGAGTGCTTGGGTAGGATTAATCGATGTGGGTAACTAGTGAATAATAATAACTTTATACATCTTAAAAACGCCGTCTGATTCCAAACTAATCAGGGCCTGTTTGTTTATCAGCAGTGTTGTTACCATAGCAGTAAGCAGACTGCTGATAAACACATACATAGCATAGATAAATTACACCTAGACACAGAACAAATCATCGTGCTCCTCACACGATTATTTGTCCTCGGTGGGAATCAAACCCACAACCTCTAGCTTAGCAGGGTCACTAACTACTAGACCAACAGGCCTGAATCCACGTGAGCATCTCATCTCATCTCTCACAGAATTTTATGCAATAAATAGGTCTGTTATTAAATCTACTTACATTCTCAATTTTATTGTGCAGTGAATCCTGTGTGTCACATTGCGATGTATAATCTAGGGATACTTCATCTTCATTTTCACTATTGTCATCATGAGTTATGGAATCGCATATAATTTTACTGCTTATCTTTTCACTTTTTGGTGCTGACTGCTTATTCAACTTGCCTGTAAACAAAACATCAGAGAGTCAATTTAGGATATGCTAATGCAAATTTAATCCATCTAAGAGTGCATAAAAACTCAAAGAGCATTTAAATCATACCAGTAGGGGCAATTGAGTTACAGACGCTTATGGACACTTCTGTATCTTTCCTTCATAACTGGCCCTATCTAAGGAGATGTTTTGTCAATTACACTTTATAGTAGTTTGTTTCTATTCAAATCAAGGCACCTCATTATTTTCACTGTTAACTTACAATGTAAACAAATCTTTCTAAGATTCGCTGTAATTTTTAATCTGCTTCTAATTGTCACAGCTAAATTAATAACATAAAAAATGATGTACATTTTGTTTGACCTGATTATAGGACCGGGAAATAAACAGTTTAAATGAAAATGAAGTTCCACTATCCAAATGAAACTTTTTTTACTTTTAAATTATGTTTTAAGTGTTTTATTTTAGTTTATTAAACTAAAATTACCTATACTGAAGTAAGTAGTGTTCAAGTGTAGGTTTTTATTTGAAGAACAATATAGGACATAAGGTTCCATGGTGTATTTCTCTGATGTATGCAAAATTTCATAACCATCTGTTAAGAAGTGGCTTATATTGTAATTCAATTTTTTTTGTTTAATTTTTTATATGTAGAGGGGGCAGACGAGCAGACGGGTCACCGATGGAAAGTGACCATTGCCGCCCATGAACGTCTGCAACTCAGGAGTCACAAACGGGTTACCGGCCTTTTAGGAAGGCGTACGCCCTTTTCTTGAAGGTTTGGAAGTCGTATCGGTCCGGAAATACCGCAGGCGATAACCCGTTCCACAGATTGGTTGTGTGGGGCAAAAAGTGTCTCTAAACGCGGACAGTAGTGGAGCGCCAACTAACTAGGTAATGAGGATGAAAATTTTGCCGTGTGGAACGGTGGCGGAAATTTGCGGCTGGTATTAGTCATAACAATTCCTTAGAGCACTCTCTATGAAATATGCAATAGAGAATGCAGAGTGAAGCCACATCACACTCTACGTAACGCCAAGGGATCAAGCCGATCGGAATTGTTTGGGCTATCGACGATTCGAGTCGCTCTTCGTTGGATGCGGTCACGAGGGAGAAACTGGTACTGAGGTGCCCCTGAATAGAGATGAAAACAGTATTCAGTGTTCTGTTCAGCACACCTGAGATTCCTGGATTCCGATACTGGCTGAGGCAGTAAGGGAGGTGCTCTCAAACTGAGGTGATACGACAAATGGTATCTTTTTTGCGGTGAACGCAGAGACCTGTGTCTTTTTTGGGTTGAACTGGACTAGATTTAGTCGGCCCCATATGGATTCCATAATCTTAGAGAACAAAGGAGTTATGGCTATAGGCCTGTAGTTGGACGGGTCAGAGCGGTCACCTTTTTTAGGGATCGGGTGCTCAAACGCTACCTGCCAGGAGTTCGGGACGACGCCTTGGGAGTAGAAGAGACGTTAAATGCGCGTTTAAACCGATGCCAACTCCGGAACACACGTCTTCAACACGATAGGAGAAATTCCATTGGGCCCACACGACTTATGAATGTCAAGGGAAAAGAGTGCTTTACGCACTTATTTTTGTATGAACCGGATATCCGGCATATAGCCCTGGCACCGCGGTAGTTGGAAGCAAAGAGTTTGCCTAGGAGATCGGCTTTCTCATTGGCATCATAGGCCAACGAATTATCTCCAGTCTGCAGGGGTGGAAAGGACTGATGTGCTCCGATTTCGCCCTAGCAATGGTTCTTTTAAGGGACCTGGAGGCAATGTTATATTGTTTTTTTTAGCGTACTGGTATTTACATCGCCTTCCGTCACTGCATTTTCCCATGCTTGGTAGCATTCCCGCTTTCACTTTCACCTTTTGTATTATGCTAGTTCATATTTACGATGAACAGGAAATGTTACAAGTAGCCATATAAATACCTATTTTAGAATTATCAAAAACTTGGAAGTAGAAGTGGCGAGCTAATAAATGTAATGTAAAATACCTGTGCCAGTTTTTATTTCTTGGATTTGTTTGCGTAAAGTCTCATATTTTGTACGCCATTCCCCAATTTCCTTTTTATACTTTTTCTTCCACTGTAGCAATTCCTTTTCTATACTTTCCCTTAGTGCTTTTTCATTATTTCTCCTCTCATTTTGTTGTAAACTATCAATTTTACCTTCATATTCTTTAACAAGTTGCTGAAATCAATAAGGTTTAAGATTTTTATTCTCAATAAGAAATAGTACAATTTATTCACTTACTCATGTTAGATAATAATTTGTAACGTAAGTTCACAGTTCACATATACCAGTGAAAATAATACAGAAAATTACACATTTTTGTAAAACAATTTATTATTTTTGACATGTGAAAGTAGAACAGCAGGGCCAACCCTCCAACACTGGTGCATGCTAATTACTATGATAACATGTACCTCATACTTGGTCCAACTTCAGTTAATTTTTTTTTTGTTAATGACTGGATGATGAACATTTTAAATGAAAACAAAGTTTCACTATCCAAATAAACTATTCTTTTTTTACTTTTTATTTTTATTCTCCATTTTTTAGTTTAATTAAACTAAAATGATCTATACTGAAGCAAGTAGTGTTCAAAGAGGCTAATAGTGGTTAAACTCAGTTTATGTTGTAATATATATGCATTGACAAGTACATACCTTTAACTACCGTTAAACTATATTTCATAGAGATAGGAAAGAACTCTGTTAGTTATTCTATAAAATTAAAATTATATTTACCTGTAATTGCACTACATGTGACTTTCCAGCCTGAACACGGTTTTCTGCATCATAATACTTTTCTTGATAATTATTTATTGCAGTTTTTAGGTTTTGACACTCCTGAAATTTTCATCAATCAAGCAATCATTGATTTATTGCAGTAAATAGGTTACTTCCTAATTTTGGCTTGGTTAAACTATACAAATAAATAAATTGAAGTGTCTGTTTGTTCTGTCAAAATAATAGGTTTTTCTTGCTCACACTGTTAATGCCTATGAATTCAGACCAGTTTAATTTTTTTTGTCTGTTTGTTCTGGATAATCTTCTAAATAGATTCTAATCTTCTAGCTGGACCCAATATGATAATATTTTACTAACAGGTAGCTGCCTATGTAGGGAGTAACTTAGGCTATTTTCCTCTCAGATAAACCCCATAAAATTTTGCCCAGTCCAGGAATCGACGCAAAGGACGTCGCGGGTACCAGCTAGTATTAATAATAAAAATCTTAGTATTCACCTAGAATAATATCATACTGAAATATAAAAAATTCCACTTACCATTTCGCACTTTGAAAAATTTTCTAGGATCTCTTTGTACTCCAAACTAGTTTGTGTGTGTTCCTGGTTTGTAGACTCTAGTTTCTTCTTAATTAAGTCCAATTCTTTATTTTTACTACACAAATCCAGTTTTAAAGAATTGTAATGACTGTTAAGAGCACTGAAATATGGAAAGAAAACCATAATAAATTTATTTATAATATAAAAAATCAATAATTATTATTTTATAATGAAATATTTTTATAGTACATATTAATGTATATTAAAAAAAGACAAATACTTACTCTACTCTAATAATTCTTTTTTTTATCTGTCCAATGTATCTTTGTTTTAGTGCTTGAACCTGCAAAAATAAATATATTTAATAATTAAAAATATTTAACAAATGTTCCCCACATGAAAAATTATTTAATACTTAAGTTTCATGGAATATTTAAAAAAGGAGGGATTTATTATAAAGGGAGCAAAGATCAAACTGAAAAAAACAGAAAAGAATGAAAATATTTATTTTTGGAGGAAAATGTAAAAATCTCATTTTGATCTACATTTTTTTTTGAACAGAACAGCTTCTGCGATAAAGTACATATAAGGTTCCTTACAAAGTGTATGGTGTTAATAAAATGTTTTTTGTGATAACCTGGATACATTTGATTTATGAAATTAAAACAAGTGTAACTAATTAAAGCCTAAAAAACATCGCTTTCAAATAGAAGCACATTTTGTATGTTGTCTGAGCTCTATAACAAACTTCCTGCTCATTTCTGTAAATTACTTAGCATTAGTCAATTTTAATAAAATAAATATTATTAATATTCATGTGAATCAATAATATACTATTTTCAATCAAATAAAACTATGTTTCTAATAAACATAAACATTATAAACTGAAAAAAATATTTTGTCATATACTAGTTTAAAGAATGCTGCACTATAGTGACAAAGGACAGTTTTTATTTTATTTATAACATATTAAATAGTTTTTATATTCACACTGATAAATAAAATTCTGACATGTAAGATGACAAAAAGTGTAACTGTAATTAAAATAATAACATACATATACAATTATTTTTTGTTTAAAATGAACCGGTGCATTCTGAAAATTGTGTTCCTGCGAAATAATGATGAACCCATATCCACAACAACTTTATATCATTTTATTCTTGTTTGTACAAAAAAATATTTGTGGACATAATGCACTAACTTGACTTATTCCTACTTTACTACCCCAATATAATACTTGAATTAATCATATATTTACATAGTTAAAATTGATAAATAGCTTGTGTTTACATATATACAACTATCATATCATATCGTACTACTACAGCTATCAGAAACACACCACTAAGAATTGTAATGTCAAATTTAAGGTTATTTTCCTCAAATTATATTAAATAACATAAATTTTTATTCATTTAAAAGCATTAATTTGCTGCTTTCACGTAGGACAGAAAAATAATATTTTAATAAGGGGAAAAGGGGTAACCTAAAATACTCACCGGAATGTTGTTTGCGGTTGGATGAAGAAAATCTAAGTCAAAACTGAGAACGGCATCCTCATGTGTGGTATTCATGGTTATGGGTTATCTAGTAAATATACACTTAAACACCAATTAACTCCACAATGAAATATCAAATACACAAACGCTCACATTTTACCATTTTGTTATTGCGAGTACGACCGGCGCGGCAACATGTTAATTGCTTTGCTTAGGGATTCGCAAAAAGTATCGATACCCTGAGGTATCGATACTTTTGGAATCGAAACTTTTGACCCGATACTTTTGAGGTATCGATACTTTCTAAAAGTATTGATACTTTCCTTCTCCCCATTTCTAATAAATTATTAGCTTAGAAAAATAAAAAAAATGGTGTGGGTGCATTAAATGTTAAATCAATCTCAAGAAGATGGCGCTGAAACAAGCGAATTTTTTTTGTATTTAAAAAAAAGAAAATGATACAGCTTCGGGAAAAAATTGTTTCAAAATACTGAAAGAAAGTGGGAACTGGGAATGTCTTTTTTAGCCAAACTTAGCAACACAAACAGCACTCCATTCTGGTTATTGCTAAAAATTAACAATAATAGTTATTATTAATGTTATAACCAATAATAATTATTCTCATTATTCATTGACTTTCTTGTTATTAGATCTTATAAATATCTAAACATAATTTGAAATAATAAAAATCAACCGTATATTACATTGAACGAATTTTTCTTTTATTTCTAATACATTTGTCAGCAGGGCAAAAAATCGACCAAAATTCATGGTCGATTTTTTGACAAAATCACACCCTTCATCCATGGTAATTTGCTCGACTGATAAAGTTAATCTGAAGTTGACACTCAATGGGTCAAAAATAAATCTCAAAAACCTGACGTGATAGAGCAATTCTGCGGCCGAATTTGGATTTAGCGCACTAAAATGCTTCGGGTAAGTATGCTCTAGTTTCTGGGGAAACTTTGTCAAATTTTGTTGGCCTGAATTAGTCGCAGTGGTCGCAGTGATGTTGTAGATGAGTCAAAATAAAATCATATGATTTATCTCATGTTATCTCATTCCTAAAAACAACCGATTTGAAACGTTTTAAATAAAATTTTGCCGTTTTAAACCCCAAATAAATCATTTTAAAGGGTTGAAAACTCGCCTTCAAAAATAAAACAACTGTGAAGAAAAACAGAATAACCTACACTTCATTGTGGGCAATTTTTGGTCACCGTCATTTTTCGTATTAATTAGTTAATAGAAAATCAATAGAAAGTACCTACCTACATTACCTACTACACGAAAACTTAAGTATGTAGGTATACCGGGGTAAGAAGCGTGCGTGCGGCGCCGCGGCGACCGCGCGCGCCATTTTACGTATATGCATGCATGCGTGTGTAGGGTAGGCGAGCTGTCAATGTTGCGTCAAGTCACGAGTAACGGCGTGGACAAGTGTGAGTTTGGTTTTAAACTGAATCATATTGATTATTTATATCGTTTAAAAAAAATGAAAAAATGATTATTTCCCAACACAGAGTTTTTAACTTACCAATAGAGTTTTTATAACTTTAGGTAGGTAATACCTACGCTTGGTCGGACGCATCAAGTAGAAGTAAATCCACTAAGTATATCAATATCAGTATATTACACATATAAAAAAACTTTACACAGTTTATAGGTAAGTACTCCGTTATATCAATACCTCGGTAAAATAAGGAAATTTAGTTATAATTGAGAAAAACATTTTTCATTTGCTCGGCCGTCCATCTTTTTTGTCATTCATTTTTTTTCTTTTTAAAAAAGACAACTCCCGCACTAGGAACATATCCTGTGTCGCGGGGGACTTTAGAAACATCTCAGACTCAGAACAATAATTTGTAGATCACACAAAGTGTTGTCCTATGTGAGGATCGGACCTACGACACTCAGCGCAGTAGGAAGCGGCGAGGTGACCGCTTAAACCGCAGGCGTAACTTACACAATTTCATCAAGAAAACTCAATGTATCTCACAAATCATACATATTATTATATTAATATTACATAATATTATATTAAATAAGATTGATAAGTGCGATTGCCAAGTCAATCTATTTTATTAAAACATAAAATATTTTTAATATTAATATGGTCACTATATGATGTTGTTAGGTTTGCTAAATACGTAATAACTTGAAACCCAAGGTCCCTTAAGTAGGGACTTAATAAATTAACCGATATGGTATTACATGGATCTTACAACTTTTTACGGTAGAAGAACTGAGTTGCGAGACTTGTTTTTTTACAAGTTTTGTTAGTAGTTCATTTTTCATTAGTAGTAAACACAAAATAATCAGGTTGATTTTTGTGTATTTTTAAATATTTTATTGTATTTTTATTAAAAGGAATTCACAGTTATGATACTTAAATTAGTATAGTAGAAAGTTAGTACTACATATTTTATTGTAACTTAAGTTCTTTTAAACTTAACTTAATTTAGATGCGATTTGTGTGTAAACATTTATTAGGTAATACGAGGGCGGGTCAATAAGGCCGTGACTTTTTAAATAAAACACAAATTTTTTGATAAATAAATTGTAGGGCTCACACCTACCACGTAATATTTATTATAGACACACAAAACAACATAAGCATAAACGCAATTACACTATCATAAAAATAATTTCACACAACACTCGTATTCGTCCTAAGTGGGAATCGAACCCACGACGAGCCTCACAGTCGTTCATCACAGTTATCTGAACACTTAAGGTTTGTAAATAGTTATTTATTACTTCTTAACACTACTCAAGACATTCACGGCGCTTATGATTTTTTACATTATAGTGTTTCGTGATGTGGGTCGCTCCAGAACGATCGTATAGTAAGAACGTTAAGTTAGTTGGTCCATGGCCCCCTTACAGCCTGCGCGTTCTCGGTTATTGTTGACATTTTCTTATTTAATTAAGTAAATTTATATAGTATAAAGTTTTGTGAATAGACAATATATTCTGTGTCGCGTTGTGTATATTGTGTGTCTCTTGCTTGTACTCCTTCTGTCTTTTAAATAGTATATCGTGTTGTTGTGTGTATAAATTATAACAGTAAGTGGATATTGACTTTTATTTATATTCACCCGTAAGTACATATACTACTCCACATAACTATAAAATCATTTTATTTTTTAACGTAGTCTCCCTTGAGCTCTATACACTTTGTCCAACGCTTCTCCAATTTTTTTATCCCTTCCAAAAAATATGATTTGTCGAGGCCTTTGTTTGCGAGATGACTTCATCATTGGAGTCAAATCTTTTTCCACCAAGTCATTTCTTCAGGTTTGGGAACAAGAAGTAGTCACTCGGAGCTAAATCTGGAAAATAGGGCGGATGAGGAAGCAATTCATAGCCCAATTCATGGATTTTTGCCATGGCAACTGCACATGTATGCACCCTTGCATTGTCTTGGTGGAAAAGAACTTTTTTCTTGGCCAAATGAGGTCGGTTTTTTTTCAAATCGTCATTGAATCGGTCCAATAAGTTGGCATAGTATTCCCCATTGATTGTTCTTCCTTTTTGAAGGTAGTCAATGTGGATTATCCCGCGTGCATCCCAAAAGACAGTCGCCATAACTTTATTGGCTGACAAACCCACCTTGGCCTTCTTTGGCGCCGATTCACCCTTAGAAACCCACTGTTTTGACTGTTGTTTGGTCTCTGGTGTGTTGTGATGGATCCATGTTTCGTCCACGGTTACAAAACGGCGCAAAAACTTCTCCATATTGCGATTAAACAACGCCAAACCTTCCTTTGAAGTTGTTACACGATTGCGTTTGTGGTCGACTGTGAGCAATCGCGGCACCCATCTTGCGGAAAGCTTTCTCATACCCAAGTGATCATTCAAAATTGAAACCACTGAGCCATGCGACGCCTACGGCTTCCACAATCTCTTGCACTTTCAATCTTCGGTCGGCCAACACCATATCGTGAATTTTTTCGATTGTTTCGGGTGAAGAGACCTCAACTGGGCGTCCAGGACGTTCGGCATCTTCAGTGCTTGTACGGCCACAACGAAATTCAGTAAACCACTTTTTTACCATTGAAATCGATGGTGCAGAGTCCCCATAGTATTTATCAAGCTTAGCCTTGGTCTCGGTAATGGGTTTTTTTCGCAAAAAATAATGCTTAATAAGCACACGAAATTCACTTTTTTCCATTTTTTCCTCAAATTACTGGGTAGTCTGATAAAGATAGCTGTCAAACACAAACTAACTGACGCAGCAAGTTCAAATTTTGACAGGAGTCAACTGACAGATGCCTGTTGACAGGAGTAGTGTTGCTTTTTCAGTAAAGAGGTCAGAAATTCAAAAAGTCACGGACTTATTGACCCGCCCTCGTACTTACAATATTTATACTTATAATAGTGGTATACTAGACAGTAGGTGCTACATATTTAATTAAAGTTTGCCTTAATTTCATCTAAATTAACTACTAAGGTCTAAATAAATTTAAACAATATTTTTGTGTAAAACATTTATAAAGCAATACTTACAGTATTTAATATACTCGTAGCATAGTAGATATGTAGTTAGTGCTACATATTCTTTTTGTAATTTGCTCTAATTTTATCTAAAATAACTACTGAGATATTTTATTTATTTATTTATTTATAGAATTCCTTCCAAATTCAAACAGGAACACAGGAACTTTACAGGTGAATGAGATATGGAATGAGAAATAAAAAGGATTTGTTTTATTTAAAACTCAGGTTTCCTAAGGTTAAATTTGTTCAAATAGCAATTTATATTATGTAGCTCCTATACCTAGGTTTAACCTTCATACCAGTATAAACGAGGTTTTGATTGAGCGTTTCACATGGTAATAGAATTTCATCCAAATTCAAACAGGAACTTTACAGGTGAATGAGAAATAAAAAGGATTAGTTTAATTTAAAACTCAGGTTTCCTAAGGTTCCGGTTCATTAGGAAACGGCGGGCATGTGGTAAATTTTTGACACAAGACTAGTTAACAAATGTTTTAAATGTTTTAAACACTAACTCTCAAATGCAATCATTTCCCGAGTACAGTTTATTAATTCATCATCATCAGCCTATC